ATTTTGCTTCATAGTTACCAGTATCTCGTCAGTGGCGATGGAATTCTTGAGTCATCATCGACAGTACCACCAACTTTATGGTCCGTACACGGTTTTATACTTTTACCAGATCTTCACACAAAATTATTACATATGTATTACGACGTGTAAATATCATTGCGTTAGATATGCGTTAAAGCCAACCTTTGTTCAAGATCCAAACATTCTTTGAGTGAGTTACCAACATGAGAGAAAAATATCTTGAATGAAACTTACAGTAATTCATAACACACGACATTAGAACAGAACTCACTGACGCAGATAAAGTCGCTAATTTGATATAACAACATAATCGTACACTTTTGTCTGACTCCATTGAGCAAAGTCTTTGAAAAGCTCATAGCCTCTCAACTGATAGAAATAACCATTTTATGGAACTCCAATATTCAGCATCGTTATCACAACATTCCACTAACTAAACCCAGTTAACACCAAAAAACCCCCACAGATTATTTAAGATCTACTTTAATATTATCCTGCAAATCTACTTATTCCAAATGGTCTCTTTGTTCAGGTTTCCCGTCTACTGACGTAAGACATACGATAATGCAAGTTACTCAGCGGTGGTACACATGCCATGAATCATATCAAAACCTCAAGTCTTTGTGATCATTGGCTCTGTTTTGCACGGAAATGTGATCACATTACACAAACCAAAGAGCCTCCGAATGGGTTGTTTAATGCAGCGAAAAGCACACAGCTCTCACTTCTCGTTGTACTACACGAATTGAACGTTAAGAAATAAAAGCCTACTTTAATTACGTCACCTCTCGTCCCTGTATAGCACTTAATGACTCCCCCCCTTCCACTCAGAACCCTCTGTGAACTCCCAATTTAGCCTAACAGACCACAAAAACACAAAATCCCAGTACTTGAAACAGAGAATGGCTATTGAAAAGCAATTTATTCGTATTTACGTATGTGACCTGACAACAGAGAAGTCTGTAAAGATTATTGTAAAGCTTGTTTGCACACTGAAATGAACAACTATTTAGAACTTCACATTAATTGTCGTGACATATAATCTGAAAAGCTTAACATAACAAAAAAAAAACACTAGATCCTTTCTGTAAATATTCTGGATTCACTGGAATTCATCAATTGTATTTGCAAATTAAATTACTATAAACCACGAGTTTTAATTTCCGTCTACAAGCATACCCATAAACAAATACATACGTACATATAACACGCTCACTTGCACACAAATTTAAGCTCTAATCAAATTAATAAACAAACTGTTTATTAATATTATTTTTTTTGTAGTGTTCTGTCTGACGACAGGTCCATATGAACAGGATCCTTCCATCCTTTTCTCGGACTGGGACCTGTTCATATACGTTCTTGGCAGATGATCCAGAAGTGGTTTGCCATTGCCTTCTTCTGTGTGTGAATGGAGTAATTGTTGGGATGCCACGGAGGAAAACTCCGTGATGCTTAGACCACGGCCTTGCCCAACACAAGTTATAAATTTGAGCACCACCGGGAATTGAACCCGGGACCCCTGGCTTACAAGGCTAGTGTTCTGACCGCTAGACCACCGTGGCTTATTAATATTAGTGATACATTAGTTGTGTTCTGAAAGTTAGTTAACCTGACAAAATAGTCTCATTAAATGCAACGTGGCCGATGTCTGTTGATTTCTGTCCACAAACTGTGAAATTATGACTTCGTTCCATTCAAGAACCTTAATTGGTATTCATTGTTTAGCCTTGCGCAGAAATTATCTGAGTTCTTCTACTGTTTTCCAAAAATTCGACATGTACTCTTAACTCATGACAAACCCTAAACGACATTCTTGCTCTGAATTCTCATGAAACGTTCGCCAAATTTCTGTTAAGCCTTATTCCTGTAGGTTACGAGGTTTCTGTATGTTGGCGAAAACAATGGAGCAGCAGAATCCTGTTAAATATTCTACGTCTTCATCCTTCCGCATCTAGCGACATCTACGTTCCATTACAGAACTGAAAGCTCTAGAGTACAGTCCGACTCGCTTAATATCTGCGATGATTAAATCGGAAACAGATGAGGGGGGAGAGGTTCCCGAACGCGTACTTTGGGGTGTTGCTTACCTCAATGGTTATACAGGTAACTGAACGCGAAGTTCTACGAGGTGCGATCGGAAAGTTTCAAGACTGTGTCAATACAGGGCGAACCGGATGTAGTACGAGCTTCTGCCGCTAGGAGGTGCGGCCTACATTCATAGTGCCAGCCGGCATCATCGAATTAGCATTTGTTTCTTAGTTACGGGCGTTTTGGTAGTGCATTACACCGACCCTCCTGCGATTTCGGAATGGCGTGTGCATCAAATTTGGCCAAAGACTCGCCAAAACGGCTACGGAAACCTATGAAATGCTAAAGCAAGCATTTGGGGAGTCCGCAAACTTTGGTGTGGCATTCACGTTTTAAAAATGACCGAACCTCTGTCGATGATGACGAGAGTTCTGGACGACCATCTTCGAGCACAACGCCCGAAAATGTTACGAAGATCGACGTCGTACCATCAACGACTTGTGCGACATTGCCGTGTGACTTCTTCTTCTTCCCAAAGATGAAAATTCAGCTAAAGGGATGGAGATTTGAGACGATAGAAGAGATTCAGGCAGAATCGCAGATGGTGCTTGACAGGCTGACAAAGAAAGGTTTCCAGGGATGCTTCCAGGCTTGGCAGCGGCACTGGGGTCGTTGTGTTCACTCCCAGGGGAACTACTTCGAGGGTGATGGATGAATTTAATACCTGAGATAAGTGTACGGGTTTTTATACGCGCAGTCTTGAATCTTTCCGATCGCACCTTGTACGTGGCGGCATTACTAAACTGCTCAAACGTCATGAACTTCTCCTTCATTCCAGTCAAACCTCTGTACAACTAAGTTTATAAATAAATAATTGCTTAATTATCTGAGAATCGCGTAAAATCAAGGAAGAAATACGATCTGTGGGCACAATGCAGAGTTACTGTATGTTACAGGAGGTGGTTCATATAGTTACCAATATGCTATAACGCGGTGGTGCCTGTTATCCGTACCAGGGAAGAGCTAGGTTTCAATGATTTTCGGACACTTTATCTTCGTGTCTTTCCTCAGTCCCTCCACGTGAATGTCGTATGAAATAAACCACAGACGTTCAAAAACGTTTCTGGGTATTTAAAGCAGGGCAGACGGGTCCGAACCCAGCCCGAATTGGTTTATGCTCTGTACCTCCCGGTAAACGATGGGATATCGTAAAACAGACCTTCACTCTTTCTCCCTGATAAAATAATGGAAAATAGATTCGAAAACTTAAATTTTTGTACTGAATTGAGTAGATTTTAAAAATTTAACCGTGTATTCGTTCTCTGAATATAAAGCTAGCAATTTTTTTTACGATTTTCTGAAGAATAAAATTACCTAAAAGTGCATTAGTTATAAACACGAAAGCCTCTGAAGAGCTACAACAAGTACGTCATAATTCAACATGTTATCTTAAGGACATGGGAACATCTGCGCAGGCCCTGTTATGACGTCACGATTCCGTCAAGCGAACGGTGGCAGTTACAAGACAATTTAAACCACATCTGGGATTTCATTCTGGTTTAGTGGGTGGCAGGAGGAATATGGCGGGGGACGAGTTTTTCAAAAAAAAAAAGCTTTTACACGCCTCCGCATAAATTTCTGTGTTCGTTCCCCCATTCTACGTGACCCTGACCTGCAGGTTTGACGCAAGAAATAACATTCTTTTTGTGGTCCGTCTGGTTAGATAAGCATTGAATCGAAGTGTACAATCATCAGGTGTCCCACTATCCACTTGTTGCTCTCTGCCGTGTGGGATTGGTTCAAGGGTTAACACAAAGAATAGGAAGATTAAATTATCAATAAAGCATCCTAACGGCCCTTTGGTCGTGTGAAGTGTGTAAATGCTGGAACGCGCAGAGACGCGTATTTTGCGCCTGCCACAATTTTATCTGCCCCAAGCGTTCTGACCTTTCGTCTACAAACACAACTTCATTGAATTTCTTGGTTTTCTTTCTTGTCATGGGTTATTTCAAAGCGGCCCCCCAAACGATATGGATCAGAACCAGTGACCTTTACCTATGTCTTAAACACCGATCTACGAAACGTAACTGTGCGTATCTTTCACTGATCCTCACACAACGAGGGGTTAAATCGATCTTCAGAGATGCAAACCTGGAACTCTTTTCTGTCCAGTAAAGTATTTTAGAACGACTGTATTTTCTAGTAAGTTTTATGGCCCAGTAAGAAGGAAAAATAAAACATTCAGCACTGTGATTTACAATTTGTAACGTTAACATAATAATAAATTTTCTTCGAATTATATTTTTTTATTTAGTGTTCTGTGTGACGACAGGTCCATATGAACAGGATCCTTCCATCCTTTTCTCTTCTCGGACTGGGACCTGTTCATATACGTTCTTGGCAGATGATCCAGAAGTGGTTTGCCATTGCATTCTTCTGTGTGTGAATGGAGTAATTGTTGGGATGCCACGGAGGAAAACTCCGTGTTGCCTAGACCACGGCCTTGCCCAACACAAGTTATAAATTCGGGCACCGCCGGGAATCGAACCCGAGACCCCAGGATTACAATGCCAGCGTTCTAACCGCTAGACCACCGTGGCGGTCATATTTTAGGTACGTGCATGAAAATACAGTAGAACTAATTAAAATTCGTCCAACAGATTTCTATTTAGAATTATCTAAATGAGAATTGCAAAAGAGGATTCGGTATTTAACGGAATTGCCTTATCACTTCAAATATTAACTCATTGATTTCAGTTTTCCGTATTCTCTTTCGTAATAAACGTAACTAATCTTTCGACACAGACGCTGATATATGCCCTTCTCTCACGAAGTCACTCTTGCGCACCACGTTCTAGATCTCACCGCTGGACCACGCCTATTCTCTGTCACCCCCTGCCCCACACCAGGAGCGTAACGCTGTACCCTATAAAACACGGTAACGGGCACCAGGAGGTCTTCAGAACGGGTGATCGCTGTCAACGACATCATCAGCTGTCCGTCGCTTAGACCAGTTTAGGTCACATCTGTTGTCCGGCTTTTCGGTAAATTTCAGCAGATTATCCTTAATACGAGGTCGAAATGTTTCATTTTTAGAGTTAGTAAATAAATACCCGCTCTTACCCTGCTTAGAATATCGTATGACACAAAGTACGTTTCGCTAAATATACATATTTGTTTAATTTTGTGTTGAGAATTAAAATATAAATTTTTAATGGTCTAGAAATTTTCAAATACCAGCTGATATCATTACAGTGTTGTGTTTCATACCTTGTTCAAATTACAACCAAACTTCAATCGATTCGTGACGTAATAACTTTAATCATTACATATTGAAATTCGTCAAAGTACTATATAATTTAAAGTAATGTATACTTTAGATAACGCGAGAACAAATTTCTCATAAGTGGGGAAATCTTACGTAACTTTACAAGCTTAAAATCCAGCCGTGATGTCACTTTGATATGTGGGCCTACAAACAAATCATTGCTAAATTCTGCCACATTTTTCAACAGCTCGTTAAGTGCAGCCGAAGTTTTAATTATGAGCGTCATGTCGCAAAGTAGAATTTGTAATAACTTTCGTCTTAAGATAATCACTAAAGTTCAGCTAAAGAGAAAATTCAGAATTGATTCATGATACAGGAAGATTATTTTCCTTCCGAAGCAAATGGAAGTTTAACCATCGTTTTTTCTAAAAATATTTCATTAGTTGTTCCTTTAACAGAAAATATTCTGGAAATTAATTAAAAACAACTGAGCCTAGATCTTTATATGTCGCATAACTTTGGGATTCTTTGGTTATTTTTAACTTTTTTGAAAAGACAAGTGAGTAGATAAACTTCGTACCCACATTTTCGTAACATACCTGTCCAAATTATATAAATCTGGGAAAGGTACAATCATCACCTAATAAAGATCAGGTTAATTAGTCAGTGCGCGCATGAAACTACATTGTACTGATACACTGTCTGGTTCTGCTTGGAGCAGCAGGTTCCGATGGCCGCAGCTCCTGCCTGTGTTCACTCAAGCATGAAGATCCTTCCTTTGGTCCTGGTGGCTGTAGCGGCGGTTCTTTCTGTGCCCGGCAAAGCCACTTCAGCGCAGGTGAGTTCTACGGTACAATAACCAAGTTCAAACATTGAACTTTAACATTACAACGTCAGTTTCAGCGAGTAATAAGCCACGCCTCAGGTAATCACAATAATTTAAATATGTGGAAGAATTGGTTTTATGAGCTATTAACGCGCAAGGGGTTAACTATATGCAAGTAAACTGTAAGTACCTGAGACTAGAAACTTTTGTTCTTGAAATTGGTGTTGAAGAGTTGAAAATTTTTTAAATAACCAAGTACTACGTACATTACAGCAGAAATCGTCGTCGTATGAGATAAAGCATTACGTTCCGAGATATACAAATTTAACACTTCTACCAGACGTCAGATAAATCTATTATTATAAATAAGCACGGATAAACAAAATTGAAGTAATTGTTTAGGAATGTCACTGTTATCAATTACACAGGGAACTGTAATTAAATTAAATTCGACGTAATGGATCAGCTAATTACCAGATATTGTGTATTTGTCAGAAACTGCAGATAAAATTGAACGTTTATGCTGCAGTAAGACTAACCGAATGGATTGCATCAATTTAGGGTCTGCTGTTAATTTACTGGTGAAAATCGAATTAAATAAAAGAATATCAAATCTAAAAGTTCTTGACGATGGTGAAGAGTCAATTGAATAAAAAAATTTCTTGGATATTATCCATCGTCTAGTAAATATAAAACGTAAAACGACGTTTCGGAGATGGGACTCTATCTCCGTCTTCAGGTTCCTACACAGTTGGGCCCACTAGATAGAGCTAATCCCTATCTCCGGACCTTCCTTGGATATTATCCATCGTCTAGTAAATATAAAACGTAAAACGACGTTTCGGAGATGGGACTCTATCTCTAAATAAAAGAAACAAAAACTGTTTAAGATGCTACTAATAATTTGGTATAGAATTAAAAGCAGAAAAATTTAAATAAAGACCTATGTTCGTGTCTTGACACCAAATTTAAGGACTAAGCAATAATTATACGCAGGTAATTAATGATTTTAAAATGTGGTGGATTACAGTTAAAATATTTGGAAACGAAAGAAACAAATTAAAATTCCGTTACGAAGAATTTAGCAGAAAATTCAATTCGGGCACGGAGTTCAAAATCTTCACCATTTCTGTCTGCTGGTTAAAAATATAAAGAGTAAAATGTATAAAACTGTAAATTTAACATTTGTTTTGTATGGGTATGAAACTTGGTTGCTCACATTAAACAAAGAACAGATTTTGGGTGCTTGAGAACAGGGTTATGATGACAGTAGTGTAAGACCTATGAATTTACAGGAGGTTGAATAAAATTTTATAGTTCCAAAAATTGTACTATTCACCAAGTTTAATTATGAGGATTATTAAACCAATGAGTACGAGACTGGCGCTGCAACGTAGCACACACGGGAGATAAATAAATGCACGCATCTTGGTCAGGAACCTGAAAGTATATATTTGGGCGTAGACAGAAGGATAATATTTATACGGATGTTAATTAAATAGGATGGGAACGTGTGGACTGCATTCATCCAGCTCAGTGTAGGACTGGTTGCAGGTTCGTCCGTGCCCAGTACTGAGTCTTCGGGTTCCATAAAAGGCGGTTTAGATATTTCTCGACTAGCTGAGTGACCATTAGTTCCTGAAGGTGGACTCTCCATGGAGTTAGTTAGTTAATTATCCAGTCATTTAATCCACTGCAATATTCTAACGATTATGACCCGTGTTTGTGACTAAACGTTCTAATATATGTGTAGAAACTATCATATGTAATAACTTAATATTTTGTGTAATTAAGTGTTCAATTTCTGATGAATTTCAACCTTACTGTTTTCGTCTATCTTAAATCTGTCAGATCTGCGCGGTTGCCATGTAAGGAATATTTTATAATTTTTTTAGATATGTTGATACGTTTTCATACTTAATTTAATATGCCTGTCTCCGACAGTTTATCATAAATGGTTCTGTGGTGGGACAAGTCTCTAGTTCTAACTGCACTTGTAATGGAGGAGTGAAAATTTACTCAAAACAGGAGTCATGGTATAGGCCTGCAAAGTCAAAGTAAACTTAATGTCTAAGTTATCACCATTTTCCGAATTTTAAGCTGTGGAAAGCTTTACAAATGGTTCCCTAAATCATGCGCTACGTAAAATAAAAAAATAAATTACTTAATTAACGTAAGGTAGTATATTTGCGTCTTATTGTGAATTAAGTTAATATTTTAATATTTTCCGTCAAATCACAATTTTTTAATAAGATGATAAAATATAAAATATTTAAAATATCATTTCACGTTCCGCATCGAATGATCGATTTGTAAACGTGAAATGATATTTTAAATATTTTATATGTTATCATCTTATTAAAAAATTGCGATTTGACGGAAAATATTAAAATATTAATTAACGTAATTGACTTTAATTTAAGATCCGCGTAGGACCTACAGAAATGTGTCCCAGAGCCTCTGTATAAACTAGTAGGCCACAAAATAGTTAAATTCAGTAATTTTTTTATGCCCAGGAGAGAATAAGTAGAAGGTGACTTGGTCTATAAAATTATTAACTTCAAAATGTGAACTCTTCGCCAGACATTATTAGGGCTATCAGACCATAGAAGGTGCGCTGTGCATTTCAAGTTTAAATTGGCTCACGGTAAAAGAATTTTGTGAAGATTAAAACGAACTTTTGGATCTCGTAAAGGGTAGAAAAGTCGGCCATCTGAGTAACTGATATTAATAGTTCCCTTTCAATGACTGTTCTATAGAGAGTGCAGTCCCGATCTATCGGCCTAAACGGGACCGAAGGACGGTCGGATAATGGAAAAGTTGGCTAATACGGAAGACTAATGAAAATATCAAATCAATTTACGATATTACTAGCTCAGTCAGTATAGTGACTAGCTACGGGCTGGACGACCGGGGTTCGATCCCCGACGGGGGCAGAGGATTTTTCCTCTAGCCTCTGCGTCCAGACCGGCTCTGGGGCCCACCCAGCCTCCTCTACAATGGGTACCGGGGTCCTTTCCCGGGGGTAAAGCCGGTCGGGGCGTGATGCCGACCACTCACCCCCATCTAGTGCCGAGGTCAAGGAAGAGAGGAGCTGTACCTCCACTCACCCCAAACGCCTACATGGCGTATAGTGGAACAAACTTTACTTTACTTTTTACTAAATTACATATTGAATACAGTACGGCGTTGGATTAAAAATCACACGAATAAAAATAGTACTTAATACAATGAATATATTTTAATTGAAAAAGTTAATTTTTTTAAGAAATTATATAAGGGCATTTGACTCTGAGCCTTCTTCCTTTTCTCTGCGCCAAGGACACGCCAGCGACTCAAGATTTGTACGTCTGTAGCAGCTGAGTACATAAAATATAAAAGGTGTGTGATGGGGGAATGTGATTCGATCCACGCCATGATTAATTGACTGCTGATAAAAAAAGGAGCTTTCCGATACATAAAGCGGAATGTCGGATAACCGAATGTGGGATAATCTGAACTATGTTGAAGTTAGAAGCTGTTTGGTTCTTACCTACCTAAGGATATGAGAGGAAGTAAGGAGTAAACACAGTGGAACCTCGATATATCGATATTGCTTGAGGTAAATTTACTTCGATCGATCATAAAAGTCTATGGACCACGAATAAGTTCTGGATCGTATAACCATCTGATTTTTAAATAATATATTTTACTCTTGATCGCGTATGTCTACACAAATCCCAGCCTTCTGCAACAACTGTAAGGGTTATTTAATATTTCTAAAACTTGGACACTCAAAAAATGTTTATTCTTGTGGCGTTAGCCGAGTGTTTTAGTTCAGGGTTGTCCATTTCTGAGGCGTAATGAGGCTGTGTATGAAGGGCAGAGATGAAATCTGTGCCCTCTGCTATGCAGAAAGAGCTCCTATACTCTGAGCTGGCTCTGGTTCGAGACGTCGGAGTGGCTACATATCTCGTACGATTGAACAGAACTGGGGGGGGGGGTTAATTCAAGAGAGTTGAGGGAACTGGTTACGGTCTCAGTAAACTTCGTATGACTCAAGATAAGCTTGTAAATATTTTATAGGTTTCCGTTTTATGTCAATTCGAATTTACCTTTCTTCTTGTGAACAGCGAAAATTTCTTAGCCCACATAAGATGACAAAAGACTTCCCTTCACGGAGAAGACACATTCCTGACAATCTGACAGTCGCAGAACTGTCCAAAACACTCCTGTCGTTTGTGAATCCTCTATTCTAATTCAGGACTCCTGCACACGCACAAGTTAAAGAGTAAAATTAGATACGAAGCACTTTAAACTGCAACATGTTTCCATATCTCCCCGAATTCAAAATTTTCTCTCAATTTCTTTGATAAAAAACTTTTATTTTTATTACGGTTCCCAAATATTTGAAATTGGTGCCAAATTTTGAAGTTCATTTTAACTTTCTTGCAATTATTATTATAATAGACTTAATAATACTACCACCCCGCGCTCTCGTTTTTAAGCCATTTTGTTTCTGATAACTCTTGACACTTTTTGATTTAACGTTTTACAAATTAGAAACACAGAAAACCGATACGGACCAAAAAATTCTTCTAACATATTTTAATTTGGATTACCAGTACCGAACTTCATCATAATTAATTTTTGGATATAAAACACACACACAAATACATAGGCGTCATATCCCCATTACGCGTTCATTTTACACACTGCTCACTGTAGTGTGATGTGCTCCAACTCTTCTCGCGTCTACTCTGGGCCACTGAGTGGGTTTACCTATGCCATAGGCGCTTAGATAAATACGGTATATTCATTTTCGTAAGCATAAAAACTCTCTCTAGAGAATCCGTCATTTGTGACGACGTAATTCAATACAAGAGCAACTCAGATGCAGATGAAAGTACGTTACGTTGAGTGCAAGAGTGTTTGGTACAAGTGGTTTTCCACAAACCCCCTCAGCCTTCCTGCTACAAATCCTCAATTACTCTTATCCTTGTAACCGAACAATCCTCCGATAGGAGTCATGA